TTATTATTATTATTACCAATTGCACCTGCTACTCCTGCATAGGTGACAGGCTTATTACAGCCCACTGTGGGATCACGGTACTATTGTTTTTTAGGACCCCAGAAAAGCCCAAGGAGAAAAAAATTAAGGAACGTTCCAGGTGTCAATATGTTTAGCCAATCAGCTTAAACTGTTGGCTAGGGGCACCTTTTTTGCGGGACTGTTATTCTGGAGGGCATCCATGGCCTTTTTAACGACGCAAGTTGCACACGGGACCTCCGAGATTTTCCGCCCTTGTCCAAGAAGGCTTGACGTTAAATCCTACCTACCATGAGATCAGGGGTGTGGCTGAAAGACAGCAGTAAGAAGGAGCCCATGAGTAGCAGTAGAAAGGCTGCCGAAAGAGTCGAGAGCTCAGAGGAGGGGGCAAAGGAGGTGAGGGGGTGGGGGTAGAAAGTGGAGACGAAAGTAGACGACAGAACATTGTTTAGAGATCTGGAAAGGGGGTGAAAGGAGAAAATTTTAGAGAAAAATTTTTTCCGTCGCTGTCCGAATTCGAACATAGGATCTATTGAACGAGAGTCGAACGCCGTAACCTCTCGAACACTGAGCCCCTCTCGAGGTTTTAGAAATGCAATTTAGGTTAATAGATGACAGTGGAACAACGAATGCCATATTCATCATCTCATTAGGGAAGGGCATTGAAATGCGGACTGAATGATCTTTATCTACGGTTCATAGGTTATTCCAAGGTTATTCTTTTTTTTTTTTAAAAACAAAGTATGGCATGAAGTTTCGAGCTTGGAAGGATGGCCCAGGACAGAGATAAATGGAAGAAGCTTGTATGTGGCGTATACCCTGCCAGGGGTGGAAGGCATTGATAAGGATGATATATCTATTATCTCTTTGTGGTTGCCGAACTTTGCTATTCAAAAGGCTTTTTAATGGCTGCATCGATCGACATGCGGTTTTCGCCAAAAGATTCTTTAAAATATTCTCCAGATCATGGCGCCTTTCGTTTTGTCAGTTTTGAGACAGTTTTGCAGCAAAAAGCTAAATTTCTTTATTTCGCCGATCGCTTTTGTAGGCCGACGCTTCTGTCTCTGTAATTTTAGAAAATCCGCCAAGTTTGTTTATTTCAAGTCGTACTTCCGTTCGATACTATCGCGCATTGTCACGCAATACCGCAATACTGAGCACTATTTTAAGTGTTCGACCCGTATAGATCTAGCTTCATGTTTTCTTTTTTTACCAATGACTTTCAGTTGATGTTAATGTACCGTTCATTCCTTTCATGGGAAGGGGGCCCAGCTAATATTATATAAACGTGTGTGTATGATTGTATGTGTAGAGTGTGTATATATGTGTGTGCGCTGGCGGGTAGCTATTGTGGGTGCTCGAGCCCTATATACACACACGCATACGCACACACACACACACACACACACACACACACACACACACACACACACACACAGGTTGTTACAGTTTAAAACGATTTGCAGATTTATGAGTCTTGTTCATACAAGTTGTGTCAGAAAAAGAGGATCCACCTAAAAGGACACTAACTCGACCATCTGTATACAAGTTTCAATCGAACCGTGAACGAACAAAATCCAACAAAAGAAGGGAGATCAAATTTGTCAATACATGTATTAAAAAACCCAGGCGACCTGTACGATAAATATCAGGTTTCAACCAGAACTTAGTAAAACATTAAACTTAACAAGTTTTTTTATTAAAAGAAAAAAGCAACGATAATATGGGAATAAATCTACCTATTTTTTGTGCATTCCAAAACACATTCATTTCCTAGGGTTATTTAACCTTTCAGGTTCTTCCGCAAGTATTAAACAAGTTGCAACAGCACCTGTCCCATACAACTTGGAAATTACATAATAAAACAACTCTACCAAGAGCCATGCCAAGATTTGGTGGACTATACTATTGTGCAATATCAACTGTGCAATGCGGTAGTCCATCTAACTGTATGAGCTTTTAACGTTATTTTTCATTATAGTTGTTCTGTTCCTATGTCTGGATGAAAATAGTTTGTGTGTGTGTGTGTGTGTGTGTGTGTGTGTGTGTGTG